ACTGGGAGTATTATGTATTCATCTTTTGTAAAATATTTTAAAGGCATTTTCTTTTTAAAAGCTAACATTTCTTTAGAAATCTGCATCTTAAAGAAAGTTTTGATTTTATTTTTGAATTTGAATGGCAGAATTTGATGTAAATTATTTAGTAGCTGATTTATTATTACTAGTAAAATGATGTCTCACCATCTTTTAAATATAGTGGGTGATCAGTTAACAAACAGTTCAAATAGCAAACAAATCGGATAATGAATGCTTTCACAAAAGATTTTTATGATCGGACAACAAACACTTTACTGAATAAACATAAAAAGAAGTGATGGAAAATAATGAATACAGATTGATTTTTCCTTGTCTTCAGGTAACAAGTTGAAACCTTTTGGAATGAGGGAGACGTCAACATCGACGCTCAACCCAATACAAATCAGATAGTATTCCTTCGATTTTTGAAACTCTCCCTTGTAATTCCAGCTTTTTGTTTACCTTTCTGACAAATAATTTTTTATAGTCTTAGCGAGACTGTTGGACGGGCACTTGTTAAGTTTGGTGTTGGGATTTATTTAAAAAAGGTGAAATTTTAACTATCCCATTGGATATTCATTAACATTTTAATACCAAATTTCGAATTTCATCTGGGTCTTGCATTTAAATAATTTTTTGTGGGTTAGTTGATTTCTGTTCTCTGAATTTTTGTAAGTGCTTTTCTGAACTTTTTATTTAAAAAAGAAACTGATAATAGTATGGAGCCTAAAAAGAGGAGTGTCAAGAACTATACTCACCGTAGAAACCAAAGAGATAATAGCCAAGGTAGAAAGTGGGCACAAGATGTTTGATGTTGCTAGGCAGTATGGCTTGAACAGGTCTACAGTAGGCACAATCTTAGCTATGAAAGAAATAAAGAGCACTTTAAGCTCATAATGGAAACTGATCTGACGACAGAAGAACTCCAAGAACTCTCAAATGAAGAATACCAAGAAACTCAGCACGATGTGTTTTCTTTTGAAAAAGAGGAAGACGAAAGAGAACCAATGTTGACATCTGCTACTAAAGATCTTTTGAAGAAGTGGGAGGATGTCAGAACAATGATCATCCAAGTGGCATCCAAATCAGAATAAGGTTAATGGGATTGGGAATCTCTACAATTACAATACTATTAAATTAATTACTTCCGAAAAATCCTAAAGAAAAGAGAAAATCAATCGACATTGGACAGATTCTTTAACCCCCACAAACAGAAAAAACATGACTATTAAAAATGCAAGACTGCATATATATGTATTTTTGTATTACATATAAATAAATGTAGTAAAAAAGTATTTATTTTTTATTTTTGGAGTCTCCGGAATGAATTAATCAAATTCCCATAAAAACCTATGGTGAATCGATAATCGGTTAATGAACAATTCGGATAACAAACAAAGTCTTGGAACGGATTATGTTCATTAACTGATCACCCACTGTATATTGAAATTAATAAACGATCTAGTCTTTGGTAAAATTTAAAATTTTTTTGGATTTTCAAAAATAAAGAAAATTTGTTAAAGTGCATTCTAATCTAAAAGTATATGAAGATAAGATTATTTGTGAACCAAATGATATGAAAACCAAACTGACTTGTAAATATTTATTTTATAATATTCTTGGATAATAATTATTATGTGGAAGACTTTTTTGTTGTCATGGAAAAAAAGAGAAGTTGATAATCTATAATCAATAATAATTGGAAGTTTTTAAAAAGTATAAAATTGTAATTATTATTATTAGTAAGTACATGCATTTTAGAAATGTACACTTCAGTTAATATTATTAAAATAATGTTCAGTTAAATAAATGGCTCTTGCCCAAAAGAAAAGCAGAAGATTTGACTGGAAAGAGGGTGTTTTGATTAAAAGATATTAGCTTTAAGCAGAAAAAAGATGCCTAAGCCCACATAAATAATATTTGCAATACTTTATTGATTCTTCTCTTCTGATATTAATTGCTCAAATTACTTCTTTCTTTAATACAAAACTTTTTGGAATATTTCAAAGAATATTTAATTCATACAGATATGATCTTTTTGGGTAATTTTTTAGTGGCCAATATATATCTAATAATTTAGTTTTAAGTATCAAATTTGAGAAGCAGAATGTCAAATGATTAAGATAGATTAAATATTTCAGAATTTTTTAAATGTCATGTTATGGTTTCTTTCATCTCCATTTTCATTATTGTTTATATTGGAACATCAGTTTAAAATACATCAGAGATTAGAGAGTAACAAACAGCTATTTCTTGCATTTCAATGAATATGGCTAAATTTACAGAATATTTATTTATTATTTTACATCTACTATGGAGATGAAATAAATTTTAACATTGTGAGAATCTTAAACTATAGTATGGTCTTGTTATACATAGGGGATTGTGTATCAGCAGATACCATGTAAATTAAATTCTGCATGAATCTATCTCACCCCAAATAGTCTAGACACTCATGAAATCATTTACATAACATTTAAGTAACCGGAAAATGTTAAAATGTTTTTATTATTATGAATAAAATTTTAGTTTGATGATTCTGAACATACAAACCTGGATATTCACAACAGTGAGTAGCATTCAGTAGTGTTTTATATTTGGAATATCAGGAGCTGGAGAAACATAATTTTCTGACTTAAGAATAATATTCAGTAGTACTGGGAGTATTATGTGAAAATGTGGTTGTCTTTTAGATGACTATAGTAATGGGAAGCTGCTGCAGCTTTCATTTTAATTTTCTGAGCATGACAATATTTTAAACCATACATAATTAACTCTGAATTTCACTATACAAATCAAATTGCCATCATATTGTAAGAATCACACATTGCTTTCATTTTCTATGTTGAATTGCTTCTTGTGGCGTTGTTCCTCCTCAACTTTGTTCTCATGCTTAAACTAACAAGATTATTATCTATTAATACTAGTGTTGTAACGAATAGTATATTCAGCCTCAGGCCAAATACTGAATATTCGGCCAGGAGTGTGGCCTAATAGCCGAATATTCAGCCAAACTATTCGGCTTGATTAACGCACGTACGAAAATTGGCACGCAAACCGCATTATGGCAAGGATCCTGCTCTCTATTGGCCCGCTGTCACTACGCTTCACCAATCGCGTTAATTCTTGGCAGTTGTAGCGGACAGACAAGAGTGTCATGGAAGTATGTGATAAATGATGATATCAAATATGTATAACAATGAAATGACCTACATGTGTAAATAATGGAAAAAGAACAGAGAAGGACCACGAAGTGAAAATGTGAAAATAAATAATAAATTGAGTTGATAACATAATCAAACAAGTCGAGGCAGCTTATTGGCACGAAATTCGCGACCGTCAATGCCAAACAATTGTTGTCATAGACTTTGGAAAGCTAAATGCTTGTAATGAAAGTCACTTAGCATGCACGGGCAAAAGCCTGGGGCCGCTCGGGCTATCAAGCTGTCTCGAATCTGTGAAATCATAACTGTGACCTATATCAATGTCCTATCTGTCTCTTGTCTCCGTTATCACCAGGCTGTCACGTAATTGTAAAATGGGAACTCTACGATGGAAAAGTGACGAATTTAAAGTATCGTGAGCGCATATTATGATTTATTCACAGGCATACGTGGATTAGAGCGATAGAGGAAAAAGAAAGGGAAGAGCAAAGATGAGTGCTTAAAAAGAAGGATAGGCAGGGTCAGACCCTCAGCTGTGTGAGGATTCTCCAACGATAGACGTGTACGTGTGCTGATCTTTGTAATTATAAATTGTGAATACATGTGACTAATGTTATTTTCATTTTTATTTTGCGCATGTTACAAGTTGTAAATAAATATAAACAAACAACACTAACTCGATAACATTAAATCTAAATAACAAAATGATTAATTTACTGTGTTTTTGTTATTTATTACTCCTGCTTTTAGGTATTCGGTATTCGGCCGAATAGTGATTAAATATTCGGTATTCGGCGGAATAGTGAAAAATAGGCCGAATACCGAATAGTAACCGAATATTCGTTACATCACTAATTAATACTGTTGTCTGTCCATTAATTAATTCTTTGATGTCCTCTTCTTCTAAGGCCTTAAATTATAAGCCATCTCCTTTATTTCTAGTTTTTTTAGGCTGTATTCAACCAAACAATCATTGTAATTAATTGGGCTATAAATTATTGTATTGGGCTTTGAAAAGTTTATTACTTATGCTTTATGTCTGGAATAGTTCTTAGT